GGATTCTAGCTGGACGACTGAGAGATTCTTCACACATCTTCAGTAGAGATTGACAGTTCCAGGTCTGAAAGCATCCACATGATTCTAGTGAGTGTGTATGGAGTGTTTTCTGTTTGAGAGAAAATAAAGTATATGATCTATTATTATATTATTAAGTTGATTTTCATACTTTTACTCATCTAGAATCAGTACTCAGTGGAAACCATCACACACAGAGAGAACATGCAAACTCGATTTTCTCTCTGTAGAAACACTATTTACCCCCCGCGGTGTGTACATCTGTCCTTCACACACACACTCTAACCTCTCCACACTTCATCTGCACTTGTAAAAATAATTTCTATTTGCGGCTCTTTGGGTTAGCACATGTGGAGACGGGCTGGAGGTGTGGAGCTCCGAGGGGGTCTGAGGGGATCGGGGTGTGGTGGGAGGGCAGGGGGAGTCAGCTGAGGGACCCTTACGCTGTTAGCTAGCATGTGGCGCTATTGTTTCATTTGCAGCTCAGCGTGGCTCCCCTGCAGAACCGTGCGTGTTCTGTGGAGACATCGGTCTGAAGACGAGAAGGTCCAATCTGTCTCCAGGAAAAACCTCTGAACATCACACACGCTTCAGCATCAGGAGGATCTGTCACAAAGACGTAAGTGAAGTTTGAACTTAAGATGCACTTTTCAGTTCCGGTTATTTTTATGGAGATGTCATTGTTCTGCTTGGAATGTTCCACAGTGTGACATTAAACATCTCAATTTTACATTTATTAATTTACAAGTGGTTTAAGAGCTCAAAAATACCTAGAAAAACAGACATTCTGACTGTGAGCGGGGTCGCCTCTCCACAGATCTGAACTGGGACTTGGTCTGGTTTGGTTTCCATGAAGATAGAAAGGTTTAATGCCATACTGTGAAACATTCCAGAAAGCTTTTGACAGACCCTCAACTAGAAAAGTTATGAGTTTCCTTCAGAGCTTTATAGTTAGGGCGGCCGCTTACGGTCATCACGCCCGGTCCTCACTTTTGCTGACATAGACTCTCCACCCCCCACCCCGGTCCTCACTTTCTCCTCACTTTGTCTTCACTTTGTCTTCGCTTTGTCTTCGCTTTTGCCCCTGTTCACTGTTTTACCAATGACCAATTTTCTGTGGGAAACACTGAAGTTACACAATGCACCTTTAAGTATCTGCTGATAATCAATATCTAGTATCAGTTGACCAGTCCAGTTTAACAGCATTTATTTCCTTAAAACAAAATTACAATAAGACAAAAGTGATCTAAATGTGTTGTTTAACTGTTATTTATCTTTGGTGTCATTTTTATGCAGCACTTTTCCACTTTCAAGGCTTAAAGAGTTTTACAACAAGAAACCACTCACACATTCACACACTAGTATACACAGACACTGGGGGCGAGGTGGGTTAAGTGTCTTGCCCAAGGACACAACAGCAGTATTCATCTGTGAGATCTGAAATCGGGTCAGTAGATCTGACACTCTGATGTTTATGTCGAGAATGGGATTTGAACTGCCAACCTTCAGATCAGAGGACAAACACTCGAGCAGCGTTTTGGTGTAAAAAGTTTGATAAGCCTGGTTCCACTACTCAGGCTGGTGCCACCTAGTGTCTCCACTCAATTCCATTTCTCTCCAGCAACTAGGTCAGGAATCAGAATACACTAGATGATTTGCAAAAACCCCAGAAGTGCGAGTTCAGGCACCAGCCAATCAGAGAAGAGACATATATTCTGTCTTGTCAACGATTCCTGAGATCGAGGATTTAAAGTCAGAACAAGAGAATGTTTGGTGAAGTTTATCAAGGGGAAAGACGTTATTGTCCTTCTTCCTATGAGATTTGGGAAAAGCTTAATATACCAGTTAACCCCATTAGCGGCGCATTACATACATCACGACCAAACAGCAGTGATTGGTTAAATGATAAAAAGTACTCACCTACAGTCAAGTGAACGAATTCTGACACTATGAGGTCAGACGATTTGTACGAAGTGAAACCGGCTGCTGAAATCAGGTTATGGTTCCACACCATTTGAATGTAATTATCTTATATATTTTCTCTGTTTAAAAATAAATAAATAAATAATAAATAAAAATAAATAAATAAATAAACAAATAAATACAAAAAGTATTCAAGTCCAGTAATATAAGGCTCAGTGAATGTCCAAACTAATACAGTCAAGTCCAGTATTTCCTCCTCTCTGTCTCTTTCTCTTATCTCTCTCTCCTCTCTCTCTCCTCCTCTTATCTCTCTCTCCTCTCTCTCTCCTCCTCTTATCTCTCTCTCCTCTCTCTCTCCTCCTCTTATCTCTCTCTCCTCTCTCTCTCCTCCTCTTATCTCTCTCTCCTCTCTCTCTCCTCCTCTTATCTCTCTCTCCTCTCTCTCCTCCTCCTCTTCCCTCCTCTCATCTCTTTCTCCTCTGTCTCTATCTCTGTCCTCTTTTTTTATCTTTGCTGTGGTTTTAGAGGAGAACCAGCCCTCCTATACCTCTGTACACACACACGCACACACACACACACACGTACACACACCCCTTCACACACACATGTACACCCACACACACACACCCCTACACACACGTACACACACACACACACCCCTACATACACCTACACACACGTACACACACACACACACACACACACACACACACGTACGCATACACACCCCTACACACACACACACAAACGTACGTGCACACCCCTTCACACACACATGTACACCCACACACACCCCTACACACACGTACACACACACACACACACACACACACGTATGCATACACACACACACACGTACACATACACCCCTTCACACACACACGTACACACACATGTACAGACATACGCACACACACACGTACATGTACACACACACATACGCACACACATAGGCACACACACACACACGTACACACACACACCCCACGCAGACACACAACCACACAGACACACGCACACATACACACACACACACACAGACGTACGTGCACGCACACACACACACACACACACAGACGTACGTGCACGCACACACACACACACACACAGACGTACGTGCGCGCACACACACACACAGACGTATGTGCACGCACACACACACACACACACAGACGTATGTGCACGCACACACACACACACAGACGTACGTGCGCGCACACACACACACACACACACACACACAGACGTATGTGCACGCACACACACACACACACACACACAGTAGACGAGCTCACATCAATAATGCAGCACACAGGCTCCTGGAGTCCACAAACTCCAATTAATCTCAAAGCCAAAGGAACAAAGCAGCAGCTATTTGACAAACAGGACTCACAGTGATACGCTGCGAGGAAAGAGTGATCAGAGGAGAGAGGGAGGGAGACGGAGAGAGAGAGAGAGAGTGCAGGTTCAGAACAGGTCTCACACCAAACGAGGCTAAAAGATCTTCAAAGAGAAAGTCCAGAATGTTTGTGGACGTTTGACATTTGAGTGATTCTGAGCTGCAGACTGACACAGACTCTCAGTGAATTAACAACAACTTCGTTTGAGTTAAACATAAATATAATGGACGGCTGGGCAAGAAACTGATTCAGGTTCACTCATTTGTTCAGGTCAATTATCAGATTAGCTCTTATTATTGGAGAGGGCCACACTAAGTCCTCTCTCAGTAAGACACTCTGGTTTGGAGCAGATGGGAGAGTTTGGAGGAAGAAATAAGACTCTTTTTTTTTTGCTTTAAAGGTACAACATGTGACTTCTAGAAGGTCACCTGCATGATTACATGGAAATAGAAAGTTAAAACCAACCTTAGGAACATTCTTCAAGTTCAAGTTCAAGTTCAAAAAGTTTACTGTTAATTCTTCATACAAAAAAAAAAAAAACACAGAAGAACTGGAGTTGTGTTTCTCACTCCCATGTGTGTAAATAATAATAAATGTAAACAGTGCAAAAGGTAAGGCACAAGACAGTGTTTTGGGGGAGTTGGGGAGGGTCTGAGTCTAAGTGTTCTTTGTGGAGATCTGTTCCTGGCTCCCTGGTGGTCAGAGAGGGGAGAGAGTTCAGCATCCTAACAGCCTGCTGGATGAAGCTGTTGAGTCTGGTGGTGCAGGAACAGAGGCTCCTGTTTATATAGATGTAATTCCATACTGTATAAGACCAGGGTGACCAGGTTTGACTACCCCAAATTTAAGATTTTGTAAGACCTTTTTAAAACCACTTAAGTGAAAATTAAGACCAACATCGCACTCATTATGCAGGTGAAAAACACCAGATACAATACACGCATCACGAATTTCGGACTTCCGGTCATCGTGCAATGCATACTGGGAAGGATCCTCAGAAAAATGTTTGATTTTACAGTGGGATGTGTCTATTGTCAAAGTCGATCTTTTCAAGTCTTTTGAACCATATCACTTTTGTTTCTGGTTCTGATATCTTCATATTTTACTTATGGAATTCTGACATCGTACTTGTGTGGTTGTTGGAATGTCCTAGCAGCGGAAAATAGGCTTCGGATTCCCTTTTGCAGTTATGGAGTTTGCAAACTTCTGAAGCCCGTTTTCCGCTGTTAGGGTCCAACAATCACACAATTAACGATGTCCGAATCCCAAAACTAAAATATGACAATATCAGAACCAGAAGCAAAAGTGATATGGTTCAAAAGATTAGAAAAGGTCGACTTTGTCAATAGACACATCCCACTCGGAAAACAAACATGGAGGTTTGATGCTCATTTTTTCTGAGAATCCTTCCATATTTATTGATGACTTTCATACATGTATTCAAATTGTTGTTATGTTTAACATTTGTTGACCTTGTTTTAATTTTGATCGTAAAACTTTTTCAAGAGAAATGAAATTCTAAAGACTTTTTTAAAACTTGACAGTGTCTTCTAGTGTGTGCATTGTGTCACCATGGTAACTCCTGAACATTCTTCCATAAACATACATACACACAAAATAACACGCAAGTCAATCACAGGTGAGAGTGGAGGTTCTTACAGGTTTGTATCGTAGTGCGTCTCTGTACGTCCCAAACAGAGCGGCCTGAGCTCGGAGGAAGGCTCGAGACACTCCACTGCCTGTCGCCGTGGACGCCTTCTTCAGTTTGGCCTTCAGAGAGGACATCTGAGGAGACACAGAGAGACAGTTACAACAAGAGGACATCTGAGGAGACATGGAGACAGTTACAAAGAGAGGACATCTGAGGAGACATGGAGACAGTTACAAAGAGAGGACATCTGAGGAGACAAACAAACAGTTTTCTTAAATTATTTCCTAAAAACATATGACTGTGATCCAATAACATTTATGAGGAGTTTTATAGAACAGTGTCCCAGCCCCAGTGTTCTCCACACAGGCCTCTGACACAGCCTGCACCCCCATCAGCCCCCTGACCCATGAGCAGCCCCCCCCCCCACTATTTACCATGGGTCCGTGATCATACAAAGCATGATAAATACAATAAAGTGTCCACTTATTGCAGTAAGTTTTAAATCTTCCTCCCTGAGAGCGTCATGTGAGGTTGGACTAGGGATGGGCATTCAATAAAATTTTCTTAATCGATCGTTGAGAGAATTAACGATTGATTATCGATTAATCATTAAAATGATCATCATTATTATTACTATCTGCACTACTAATCTGCATAAATAAATTCAACTTTATGACATATAAACCGTAACCACTCTAGAGCCACATCAGCTGTTTGACATTTTCATGTGTTTAATGCAGATTTGCGCAACAGAAATGAAACTTAAAACCACATGACTAATTTGCATAAACTAAGCGAAGAAAAAAAAACAAACAGCTCTTGTGTCACTGATGTGGCATGACTCAGGTGAATACAGGTTAGTGTGCCCATATTTGTGTTTGTGAAAACCAGGACACTGTACGGGGGGAGGGGGGTGGGGCCTCGTCATCGACATTGAGCGACTCTCACCTGGCAAAACTTTTTCATGTTTTCTGTGTCCTGGTGAACTTTTTCCCACTGGACATGAAACATATGTACCTGCTTTATACACTGTGCACATGGCCTCACACTTGTCCCGACTGGAACAGAAAGTGTGGAATTTCTTGTACAAGTCATTGTTAAATGACAAAATCTTAAAACACACCTTTTTACTAAAGCCTTTGTTAATTGTATTTATTCTGGTTTTATCTTATAAATTCTGCACTGGTTTTAGCTTGATCCACTGTTTTTCCGATGCACCTTTTTACTCATTGTTTTACCTGTAGCACTTTGAATTATTTTATGTAAAGTGCAATATAAATAAAATGTATTATTATTATTATTATTATTATTAAATCCACATTTGTGCTTCAGTATGTTGCAGACTGACCCACTGTTTGTGTCTCGCTCCTTCTGAGCGCAGAGACACATGTACACACCCCTGTTTGTCCCCGGACATGGAAGTTTGGTCACCCTACATTACACACAGCAACCTACATTCATTAAAATGAACATAATCGATGAAATTCTTAATGATCATTATCGATTAATCGACTAATCATGCCCCTCCCTAGTTTGGACATCACTCACTCATCACTCTCTCCCTCCCACTTTCACGTGTCATAACACCAAACCCATACTGGTCATATTTGGAAGTTCAGAGGGCGTTTCTAACCAAACCCATGTTCATTTTCTATGTAAATGAAATGTAAATGAATGTGGCGGTGTTCGTAACTGGGCGCTGGTGAATATGGCAGCAAACAAATTAAACGAGCGAATTAAAAATCAGCTTTAGTGAATCCCAGTCACACACGGGCCCATAAATGCAACAGACTCACTCTGTCTGGGAATGGAACCCACAACCTTCCAGCAGCAATGAGAAAGTCCTGCTCTAATACACCACCGTGCCCAGAAACAACAAGGAAGAAGAGAAAGAGAAGAAAGGAGGGATGAGAGAGGGAGAGAAGAGAAGAACGGACAGAGAGAGATAGAGGGGAGAAAGGGGTAGAGGAGAAAAGAGAGATGGGGACAGGAGCAGGACACAAGAGGCGCTCGTAATGAAAGAATGAAATGAAATGATCACCTCCAGATCTGAGGAGGAGACAGATCCCCCAGACAGAGTGTGAAGTATTCCATTTACAGGTCATCTGAGAGAAAAGAAGGAGAGGAGGAGTGATTAGGAGAGGGGGAGGAGTAGAGAAGGAGAGCAGGAGAGCTAGAGGAGGAGGAGAGTGTGGTGAGAGAGAGAGTATAGAGCAAACAGAAAAATAGGAGCGATAGAGAAAAAGAAAGGGACATAAGAGAGAGAGTGTGATCACGTGACGAGGAGAGGAGGAGTGATTAGAAGAGGAGGAGGAGAATAGGGCTGTGTCTTGTTTAAAGATGACAAAAGACTCACAGGAGCAGCGGCCCCGGGGAGCCACAGAGGAACTGTCAAGAGGAACTACTCACCTGCTCTGAGGGAGGGAGAGAGGGAGAAGAAAGGGGGATGAGGAGGAGGAAAAAGAGACTTGCTCAGTGTGTGGTAAGAGAGGGATAGAGGGGGAAGGGAGAGAGGGGAGAGAGAGAGAGGGGGGCTGCTCAGTGTGAGGTGAGAGAGAGAAAGTACATAAGAACATAAAAATAAAGTGGTGATAAATTGGTGGAGAGAGAGAGAGAATGAGATGGATAGAGAGGGGAGGAGAGAGAGAGAGGCACATAGAGGTGTGGTGTCCTCATTACTGTGACACTGTGAAGTCACTGAACAGAACTCTATTAGAAGTGATCCTGCCTCATACTCACTGCTCTTATTTCTTTATATTTCTTTATTTTTTTATTTCTTTATTTGTAAAGGGGCAGCACATATTAATGAACATTTCAAATGTAAAAATGTAAAGTATTAAAGTGTTATAATTTTTGAATGTTATATAGTAATGTAAAAGCCGATGTGGCTCATTTCCATCTTCAGTCCCTCGGCCTCAGGTTGATGTGAAATCATCTACAGCAGCGTTTCCCAAAGACTGGGTCACGACCCTCAGGTGAGTCACAAAAGAGTTTTTTATTTTTTTTAGGTCGTCTTGTCATGATCTGCATGCAGATCTGTGATATATTAAGAGCTATATTTAATGTCCAAACAGGTGACTTCTGGATCCTTTTATTGCTGCTTCACTGTTTTTCATTGTTTCAAACTTGAGAAAAACTAATTGTTCAGAGACACGATCACTCAGAACTCACTGTAACACAACACGAGTATCACCACATGAGTGTATCACCACACAAGTGTATCACAACACGAGTGTATCACAACACGAGTGTATCACAACACGAGTGTATCACAACACTAGTGTATCACAACACGAGTGTATCACAACACGAGTGTATCACAACACTAGTGTATCACAACACTCACTGTATCACCACACGAGTGTATCACAACACTAGTGTATCACACACGAGTGTATCACAACACTAGTGTATCACAACACAATTGTATCACAACAATAGTGTATCACAACACTCACTGTATCACCACACAGAGTGTATCACAACACTAGTGTATCACAACACTAGTGTATCACAACACTCACTGTATCACCACACGAGTGTATCACAACACGAGTGTATCACAACACGAGTGTATCACAACACAAGTGTATCACCACACAAGTGTATCACAACACTAGTGTATCACAACACTCACTGTATCACCACACGAGTGTATCACAACACCAGTGTATCACAACACGAGTGTATCACAACACGAGTGTATCACAACACTACTGTATCACAACACGAGTGTATCACAACACGAGTGTATCACAACACGAGTGTATCACAACACACGAGTGTGTATCACAACACAGTGTAGTGTATCACCACACGAGTGTATCACACACAATAGTGTATCACAACACTAGTGTATCACACACAAACACTAGTGTATCACAACATCACTGTATCACAACACGAGTGTATCACAACACAAGTGTATCACAACACTCACTGTATCACAACACAAGTGTATCACAACACTCACTGTATCACAACACTAATGTATCACAACACTAGTGTATCACAACACTCACTGTATCACAACAGTAGTGTATCACAACATGTATCACAACACTCACTGTATCACAACACGAGTGTATCACAACACTAGTGTATCACAACACTAGTGTTGCATCTGAAGCATCTGAAAATATTATTTACCAAGAAAAAGTTGTGACGTCATCTGAGACACAGCACTTCCCTCCTCTGGTCTTCAACACACATACACACATGTACACACTCGTACACAATCCGTGTATCATTCGTTCATTCATTTTTCAATATAAAACCAAAAATAAGAAAACGAAAAAACAGTTTTCTTCGTTATTTGTCTCCAAAAACCAAAATGAAAAAACGGATAACGATTCGTTTTTTCAGTTTTCGATTTTATGTTTAAATGAAGAATGGAAAAAACGGATAACGGCCGTTTCGTTTACGTGACTTCCGTGACTGCGATGCCGGACTTTTGCACGCATACGACTGACAGGACGGATCCAGGTCCGAGACCACACTGAGACACCAGACCGAGACCAGAGCGGGACTGAGGCCCGCTCTGGTCCCGGTCTGGTCCAGTCACCGCATACGGACTGAATCAGGACGGATCCAGGTCCGAGACCAGACCGAGACCAGAGCAGGACTGAGACCGGGACAGAGCTGCTCTGGTCCTCCGCGCTCAAGAACCGCGGCTGGTTCCAAGGTGGTGCAAAGCCTCCCGACTGACGCTTTCACACCAATGAAAATGAATCGAACTAAAAGCTTTTGGTTCAAATGGACCAGGTCCGGGATCAGACCGGACCTAGAGCGCCGGGGCCGGAGCTCAGGTCTCGGTCTGGTCTCGGACCTGGATCAGTCCCGGTTCAGTCCGTATGCGGTGCAAAAGTCCGGCATCGCAGTCACGGAAGTCACGTAAACGGGAAACGGCCGTTATCCGTTTTTTCCATTCTTCATTTAAACACAAAATCGAAAACTGAAAAAACGAATCGTTATCCGTTTTTTTAATTTTGGTTTTGGAGACAAATAACGAAGAAAACTGTTGTTTTTTTCGTTTTCTTATTTTTGGTTTTATATTGAAAAACGAATGAACGAATGATACACGGATTGTACACACATGTACACACACATGTACACACTCGTACACACATGTACA